CGGTTCCGACAGCAATTGCTCCCGTGCACTCAGTGAGATGTGGAACCACACCAGGTGGGAACGCCCTGGATGCAGTACCTGGAAGGAAACCGCATGGTCACCTGCCCAGACCAAGAGGCATCCGCTGTGTGTGCAGTGCGGCGTCTCTTGAAGCAGCGAGCACCTGTGCACGCACACCTAGGAGCAGTCTAGGTACCCACAGTGCGGATCTCTGGACTCGGGACCTAGCTTGTTAGCCAGCCCCGAGGGGTCCTGTGCACAGATGGGGCAGAAGCTGGACCAGACTTGGGGTCCCTCCCAAGCCTTGGGTGCCCAGGCTGCTTTCTGGCCTTGGACAAAAACATTGAGGACATGGGGAGCCCTCCAGGCTTCTTCACCTCCCAGAGGGCCCCCCTCAAGGTGATGGCTGAGCAGCCCGACCAGAATCATTGTCACCGACAGGGCCTGGAAGAATGTTGAAATGCCAGGGGCTGGGATTGGATGAGCCACCACCTGGTGCTCAGGGTCCCATGAGAACCTTATCCTGGGAACAAAGGTCCCAGAAACAAGAGGGATGCTTTGAGAGGGAAGGGCTGCCAGCTCAGGCTGAAGCGTGGGACAAACAGACCCACCTCTGGTGGGGGAGAAGAACTCCATGCCTCAGCTAAGACAGAGCACCCCGGCCAGGGGCCCAGGGGCCGCTGGGAGTCCATGGTCTGCTCCCCAGGGCCAGGCACCCATGTGTCACACATGGTTGGAGCCTTGAGGCTGCTCGCGGCTGCAGACCCTGCAGAATCCGCTGCGGGAGGACCCAGCAGCCAAGAAGAACGAGGCAGAGAATTTCCTGACTAGTCGGGCTGTGATCCTGTCAGAAGAGGAGCAGAAATAATGAACATGGTGAACCTGGGTGTGCCTCTGCGGCTCTGTAATCAGCCTGGGTGTCAGGATAACAGGGACCCCGGCTCCCGAGAAAACTCCATCAGCCCTCTCTTCCTCCCGGAGAAGCATGGAGAAAAGCAGGATGGCAAACATCAAGGGGCGCTCACAGCAGGGGCAGGGCGCGTGGCCCTGGGACATCACGCACTTGGTCAGCAGACGGCAGTGGGTGTCTGAGACCACCAGGGCCAGAGTCCTTTGCATTGCCACCTCATCAATCGGGGTTCCCGTGCCAAGTAACATCTCTCAGCAGAATGAGAGCCTTCCCATTGACTTCAAGCATCTGGCACATATCCCCAAAAATGAAGGTCTGTCGCTGCACTTGTCACACGAGCATCAGAGGCTGAGGCAGAGCTCCCTAGTCATACCCTACAGTCATGCTTGGGTCCCCACCCCCCCTCCCACACACACACACAATACTCAATGAGCACCTACACCGCCTGCGTCAGGGAGGGACAGCAGGGATGAGCGAGGAGGGGCCACCAGCTGCTGCGCTTCCCATAAGCTTCTACCACCAGCTGTGAGCAAGGGCCAGCCGGACACTGAGAGAAATCACAAAGGGATCGCTGCACGGCTTGTCCTTTAATATATAAGACACCGGAAGAATTGACAGCAACAGGAAACACGCCAGCCGGGAAAATTCTATTTTCTCATTGAGGTTAAATTTATGTGTGTGTGTGTGTGTGTGTGTTTTGCTGCCATTGAACTGAGCTCAACTCACAGCAACCCTGTGGGGAAGGGGAGAACTTCCCCTTGGGTTTCCAAGGCTGGAACTCTTTAC